ATATTTTTTATAAACGATTTCACAATTATTTCTCCAAATGAACTCTTAATATAAATATTAGAAGTGCCGGGGGAAAGAAACTAATCACACAATTTCATGCACACAATCGAAAAAACAACTCGGCATCTCTTTGAGTAAATAGTGGTAGTTGACCAAGAAAATTGATATTTTGACTAAACAAAAATTAATGAACAAGGCATCAAATTATGAGAAACATGCCGCGATTAAAAAAAAGCTAGTTGTAATTGGGTTGCAGCCATCATCAAAAGTCACAGCCAGTATTCTTGCATCAAATGATTTGTTGTCAGCTTTCTAAGGGAAAGGCATAATGGAAAAGAGGTTAGCCTTATAAAGATTGCTAATTAAATGATCATTGGATAATCGTGTAGTTATCCACAAAAAATATCCGCAAATTTTGTGATAAAATAGAACATTAATGGCACATTAAAAGCAGTAGTAACAGTAACAGCAACAGTAACAGTAACAATTGCAGTAGAACGAAAATGAGATGACAGTGGTGGTGGTAGTGGTAATATAGGAATAGACTCGCTCGCTCATTAAATTTTTTTTTGTGATCAACGTTACACGTTCTATATAAATCTTGATTTTCCCTAAAATTTTTTAATTTTGGTAAAAGCCTAAATTTTATTTTGTCACATTTTTATATCCAAAAAATCAAACTTCCATAATGCTATATATTAATTCAGAAACATTATATTAATATTAAGCAAGCTATACATTTAAACAATATATATGAACTACTAATTCAGATATCTTTTCTGTGAATTAGAATATTTACAATTTTGCGGATTATTTTTTTTTGCGATAATAAATATTAATGTTCTATTTTATCACAAAATTTGTGGACATTTTTTGTGAAACGACATAATTTTTGCGGATGGCTATATGATTATATTAATATCCTTTGGCAGGCAAGGATATTTCTTGACACCAGCAAATTTTACCATTTCCAAAACTTTATAACTGCTGTTTTAGTCTTTATTATGCACGTCAAAAATTGTCGATCTGCATTGTGTACTACATTTGCTACATTTTTTTTGTAATTATTATAGGTAATACGAAAAACTTGAAAGTATTTTAAAAATTTTATCTCATTTTAATATTTAAAATAATTAAGTGTGGCTTATGAATCAATGCCTCTTTGGCCCAGTGGTAAGGCGTCGCTCTCGTAAAGCGAAGATCGGTGGTTCGAATCCGCCAAGGGGCTCATTTTCCATAATTTTCAAAAATCATAAATTTTTTGTTATGTTTCTTATGCAAAATAATGCATAAATATATTTGATATTTATCTGGTAAAAAAAAAAAAGAAAAGTCACCATTGGAATATTTTCGTTAATTGGGTTATTGTTAGATAGATCAAATTAAGAGATTCGAAATTTTCTTTTTGAAGCTAAAATCAATTTCATAAATACAATATTCATTCATACATTTAATTACTTATTATGTATGGATTATTATTTCATTCCATTTAATTCACACGTGACATATTAAAAATGAATTTAAATTTAAAATTTAAATTTTTTTATATAATTTGGACAATAAAAGTTTATTTTAAATAATTACAAGGCTTAAATTAATTAGAACAAGATTTATTGTTATATATGAGACTGTAGCAAAAAAAGATGGTTCTGGTAAAACTAATAATTATTTAATTGAATTTGATTAGAATCTATATATAAAATAATTAAAATTTGAAATAAGTTAATAATAAAATTATTGATAATTAATTTAATTAAATAATAATAATTACCATTATAATTTCCAATAATTGAGACTTTATTTGAATTAACAGGTTGTGGAAGATTTGTAAAATTCAATAATCTGCTAGTATAAATAGCATTTGGATGTACAGTTGCTGTAATTGTTGAAGGATCAAATTCAATATCATCCAATTCATCAAATTTTTTTCTGACTAATCTCATTTCGTCAATTTTCTCTCTAGAATATCTAGAATGACTGTCTAATCTAATATAAGAATCAATAAATGCATGCCTCCAGAAAACTATAATATCATAAATTTCTTTGGCAGTTGGTCGTTTGTCTGGATCAGCATCCATGCATTTATAGGCTAATTCAATATAAAAGTTTGGTGTGTTGATTGAAAATCCAGGTCTTACTCCTTCGCATAATTTTACAGCAAGGTCTGCATCATGTGAAATGTTGCTGAAAGGTTGTTGTCCTGTTGATACTACTGACATCAGAACCCCAAAGCTATAAATGTCAGATGCCATTGTGTATGGCTTGCCATTTAAGTTTTCAGGGGATAAATAAGGTAATACACCATATACATTATTTTTTTTATTTGATGTTAAAGTTTGATCAGTGGGAACTGATAGTCCTAAATCTGCAATATATGAAACATAAGAACCATGAAGAATATTTCCACTATGAAGATCATGATGAATAATATTTTGTTCATGAATATTTTTTAAACCAATAATAATATTTTCAAGAATATAAATTTTATCTATCCATTTTAAATTTTTAAATTCCTTTGATAAATAATTTTGAAGACTTCCATCTTGCATATATTGCATTACAAACATATAATCTTTTGTGGTTGGATCTTGTGTTATTCCATAAGTTTTAATTACTGCATCACTTCGGTGAAATTTAACATAATTTTTGAACTAAAGCAATATTAGTGAATTATATTATTTTCTTTCATAACAACAACAATAAAATATCTACCTCATTTAAAAAATCATCAGAAATATTTTGTGAATTATGTAATTTTTTTAATACCACAATCCTATCTTCAAAGCATCTTTTCTTTTTATCAACATATTTTTTACCATTTATCCAAATAGCTTTGTATATAATTGCAAAACCACCTTCGCCTATCTTTTCAATGTCTTTTAATTCATCATAATGAATCCATTGAAGATGATATCCATTAGTATATATTGTTGCTGTAAGTTGTGTACTTTTAATCAAATCATCAACCATTTCATTACCACTAGTCCATCCTTTAGTTAATAACTGTGGGTCGCATGATTGACACCACGAATAAAAAGTATTATATCTATTGCAAGTTGGACATTTACCGAAATTCTCATATCTTTTATTTGAATATTCATCCTTTTTGAATATATTTTTGATTTTATCCATTTTTTTAGAAACGATTATAATAAATACGTAATAAAATTTTAAAATATTGACGTTACATTAAATAAATTAATTTCTAAGTTGGGAATTTAAGGTTCCACGCTCTTTATGAGATGTTTATTAAACCGTTTTTGGTTGTTGATATCTTATAGCAGATCCATGCTATGAGATGTGCTGGTTTGTTGACATCTGTTTTGCAAAATGAAGTTGGTTACTCATAATAAAATGTAAACATCAATCTCTGTTGTTTGCACGTTCAGATTTTACCTACCACAAATAATATATAAAGTTATAAATGCAATTTTTTTTTATTGAAAATAACAGTAAAGAAATCACGATGACAATGGTTGGGAAGAGAGCCAATGCTCCTAATCATGGTGACGGCAGAATAAGAGTACCCACCAGTCCATCGTTCGGGTTGGGAAGAGAGCCAATACTCCTAATCATGACGAGAGCAGACAGAGCTCTCTAGACAAAATATAAAATAAAAATACATTCCTTTTTTCCACAATATTAAAATTGCTTGAATCCAACTGTTGTACCTCGAACAAAAATCGATTAATCCAACGACCATCAAGCGAAACCAATCACTCAAAAAAGTGGTGAGAGTGTATCATGATGCATTGTCCTTTTGGTAATGCATAAGTTCTAGAACGTTCAGTAGCAAATTAGAATCAAGAAAGGTCTTCCCCTCACTGATGCCATTCATGAAATTTGCCTGAATGACCAGGACAGAGTTACTCAATATTATGTCAATCTATCTGTGAGGAGAAAATATTGTTTTTAATTCTAGGTATACAAAGACCCGGAATGTCATTATAGAATTACTAAAAAGACATAATAAAATTAACATGAAAAATGTTTATTATAAATTTTTTGATGTATCAATCCAACATATGACTCCCCTACATCATTGAACTAGTGACTGTTTAATAATTTATATATCAGTTACATTAATAGCAAAACAATGAAATCTGAAATTATTTTTTATGATATTAAATACCAATATCAGATATTGAACTTTCTGGCAATACTTCCTTACTTATCTTAATCTTTATGTATTGCAAGACCATGAAAAACAATTTTAGGTGGTGGAGTATCTCTCTGTGCCAATGCTGATTATTTCTTGCAAAAAGTCAAAGTCTTCTTAATTTGGAATTCTTTATATTCACTGTCTCCATACAATCCGTGATCATTCTCTGTTTGTACATGAATGAATGAGGATAGTGTATTTTGCTGATGAAACTTAAAACATTATCAGTGGTAAAAGCTGAAAGTTCCCTATTCAATTCCCATTCCCATTTCTTTTGTAATTATAAAGCTTTGAACAGAACAGATCAGATCAGATTTGGAAAAATTTGTTCTGATCTGGACGGGTTCTTTAAAATGTTGAATCTGAAATCTGAAATCTGATCTGGAATCTGATCTGAGATATTATGTATAAATAATAACAATAAAATTTATAAAAAATATTTATGAAAGAAATTATGAATTAAGAATTTTTATCTGATCTGATTCAAAACAGATTGTAATTTAATAAGATCTGATCTGATCTGATTCAAAGTAGATTAATTTAATAAGATCTGATCTGGTTTTGATCTGGTTTTGATCTGAGCCTTATATAGTTAAACCTGTGTGAGGATATGGCACAGCACCCTGATAAGTTCTTGATAATTATCCTTCTGTTATTTCAACTGATAATGTGTTCAATTATTTACAAAATGAGGATTTTTATGAAGTGTTGACAAATTTTTTCCATTTTAAAACCAATAAAAGAATTAACAAATATTTTAGAAGCAAGATCTGCTAATCTAGCTGATTGTTTCATTGGCTTAGTTAAGCTTGCTGCTGCCATAAACCAAATAGATGGTATGAATCCATGGAAACAAGAAATCACTGTGAAATTTAATAGAAGGTTTAATGAATTCACTAATTATTATTATATTCTTTCATATTGGCTTCATCCTTTATATCATGGTCTGCATTTTTTTTGTATAAATATATATGTATATATATACTTTTTTATGTAATTGAAAATAACTTGTTTATTTTTTTAGGCAAGGGCTTAAAAAACAATGTATTAGACAAGATATATGAAGCAGCAGCAAGTTTGTGGAAGGCTTTAGGTTATGATGAACATTCATGTATACAATTATTGACAGAGATGCGTGCTTGGAAAAGACAGTCTCCACCATATCATTTGTCCTATAATAAAGAAAAGGAAAATCCAACTATGTGGTGGTTAAGTATTAATACAGATAAAAACAATGACCAATTGCAAGAATTAGCCTTACATCTTTATGCAATATCTCCATCTCAAG